TAAGCGGCGACATCTTTGTGAGGGGAAGGGCACCTAAATTTAAAAGCCTGCCTTAAATCTCAACGTAATTATTCATAACAAAGGTCTTATCTCTGGGCTTTACTGCAAAGAATAAAAAAAAACTGAAAACTTTAATCACCATTCATGACATTCAAAATAACACTGGTATCTTCTTTACCCACTCGCAGATTACAATTCTCTTTACCAGAGTCATCAAGTTTTAAGCTCACTCCAATTTTCCCTTTTTTCCATTTCTACTTATCTGAAAGAAAGAAATGTATCTCACCACATATGCAGCCTTGCCCCTCTCAAAAAAAATTAGTCCAGCAACATCTTTTTAGCAGTATAATAGAGGGACCTTGGAGGTCTTCTAGTCCAACCCCCTGCTCAGGCTGGAAACCCTATACCACTTCAGGCAAACAGTTGTTCAATCTCTTCTTAAAAACTTCCAGTGTTGCAGCACCTACAACTTTTAGAGGCAAGTAGTTCCATGGATTTAATTGTTCCGTCAGGAAATTTCTCCTTCGTTCTAGCTTGCTTCTTTACTTGATTAACAGAATTCAAAGGGACCTTGGAGGTCTTCTAGTCCAACCCCCTGCTCAGGCAATCCTCTACCATTTCAGACAAATGGTTGTCCAATCTCTTCTTAAAAACTTCCAGCGTTGGAGCACGCACAACTTCCAGAGGCAAATCGTTTCCACTGATTTAATTGTTGCGTCAGGAAATTTCTCCTTAGTTCTAGCTTGCTTCTCTCTTTGAATTGCAACGTAGAACTTACTATTTCTCAAAAGTGCTGACCTTCCTCATTTGTCAGCCGGAAGACTCAAATCCAGGAAATCCCCACCGGCACTTACACAACATGTGGCCAACAACTTATAAATCGGTTCCCAATGGACAGTCAAACGGGTCACTAAAATGTTATAGCAGAGGTCTTCAAACTTGGCAACTTTAAGACTTGTGGACTTCAACTCCCAGAATTCAGCAGAGCTGGCTGGAGAATTCTGGGAGTTGAAGTCCATACGTCTTAAAGATGCCAAGCTTGGGGATCCCTGAGTTATAGGAACATATAAATGACTCCCTACAAATGTGCCAGGCATTGAACTACCATTGCCCGCAATGGACAATCCCGAAGAGGATTTGCACCTCACATAGAGTCTGCCGAGACATTCTGTATAGGGGCATAGTATCCTACCCTAGGTGTGATTGTGGGATCCGACGTCAAACTGTAGATCACATCATGACTGGCTGTAAGCTAAGAGCATATACCGGTCCAGTATCTGATTTTTTTTTAAAAAAATGTTGGGCTTCAATAGTAAGTTAGATGGCCTAGACTAGGGGTGTCAAACTCAAGGCCCGGGGGCCAGATCCAGCCCGTGGGGTACTTAAATCTGACCAGTGGTCAAAATTTTATACTACCAGTTCTGTAAGCCTGGCTTGGTGGGCGTGGCAGGGGAAGGATACTGCAAAATCCCCA